TTATTATTATTATTATTATTATTATTATTATTATTATTATTATTATTATTATTATTATTATTATTATTATTATTATTATTATTATTGTTGTTGTAATTGTTATCGTAATTCTGATTATAAGTATCATAAGCAAAGATTATCCTTTATTGTTGTGTTTTCAGGAAGCGGAGAGCGCTATCGGTGCCATGAATGGTCAGTGGCTCGGTAGTAGAAGCATCCGTACCAATTGGGCAACTCGCAAGCCACCGGCACCCAAATCGGAAGGTAAGTGAGCTCAACTTTTGCTAAGTCTACAACCTCTTCGTTATTGCTCATTGAACTTTATTTTGATTTAGTATTAATAGCTTTGTAAAAGTGATTCGCGCCCGTCGGCCATAATGCTTTTTTCAGAGATGCAGAATTTACGTTTGAAAAATGATATTTTTTCTTTTCAGAATTATGAAGTAGAGAACTCACGATTATAAATTATATGTCCACGATATCTGTAAAGACTCGTATAACTGGCAAATAATGTTATTCATAGAATATTTTTAATAAAATGCAAGAGAATTAATTGTCAGAGTAACACAAGTTAAATGCCAACAATATTTAACCGAATAAAATGATAAATAAATTTTTGTGAATAATATTTTTATAATATTACGCCAAGTTCATGAAGCATCAGATAAAATAAATAATATAAAGCTCGTAAAAATTTGAATAAATACTTTAAATTTATTCGTATAGATAAATTTCTATCGCAAAAAAATAAGGCCGTATTAACGAGAAAAATATCATAAAAACAATTGGTTATTAAAGTTAAAATAAATGACACCAGTGATTTATACAATTATTAAAATTAGACGGATATTAATAGCTGAAGCGGATTTATATGTCTTTTTCAAAATTTATTTGAACTTTCGACATGAAAATTATCTAAATAAATTAGATTTATAAGCCAAAGATATTCCTTATGTAAGAATTTAATTAAAACAATAATATTCTTGTTCCGAAATTGCATTACCATGATGAACTACAAACTACAGAAATGTTTTATTCAAATTTAATGAATACCGAGTAAAGATAGAATAGGACGTGTAAGTTTAAAAATTTGAATAACAAATATATTTCGTAATGATCATTTCATTCGTATCAATAAATATAACAACGCAAACGATAGAATAATTTGAAAATAAAATGTCTATTATTTTATGTATAATTTTTTTGTCTTTTCGATAAGATTTTTGAAACTTGTATTACAGATTTTGTCTTGTGATTTTACGATTAACATAAATTTACAAAGACATTATACAAAATGATACAAACAAACATACCATAAAAATTCGAAAAACTGTAGTAATTCCTTGAGAGGTTGATTCTTCTACATTTCTATAGATAAGCTAAATTACAATAATGTGCATTTCAAATTGAAAAAGAAATAAATATCCTAATTTGTATACGAAATATCTCTATGGCAAATATTAAATAAAGTAACGGAGAAAGTCTATAAAGATAACAAAATTTATTTTAAAAAAAAAATGTAAATTTATGCATGCATGTGTGTATAAAAACGCAACGTGACATATCCCTTCTATTGTACACGATTGGCGTAGATGATCGTCTCTTTTCCTACATTGCCGCCTTAATTCCTCCTCCATCCCTGCTCCACTTGTATACGAATCGCATGTCACGTCGGATCCGAATTTAGGTTTATGACGAACTTGTGGTGAAGGTACGCGAAGAGTCACCCATCTAAGTTCTGGCACTGCCTTATCTGCTCAAACTTCTTTGATCAATGTTAACTGAATATTGTAGTTAAATTCAATGAGTAATGAGATTAGCTTGGATGTACGCAGGAATAATTTCTATAAATATTATAATACTTTTATTTCAATCATGGAAAAGAGGATGTCAAATTTTTAGTTTACTACATTTATTAGCTAAAAAATTATCAGAGCAACTATAATTTAAAGTATATTGCGATTGTATTATACACGGCATTGTTATTATTATTATTAATATTATTATTATTATTGCTATATATTATTCCTTCGTTATATATATTGAAAAAATACGATCTATTAATCTATGCCCAATTCACGGTTCAACCTAATTTACTTTTTATTCAGAAAGACAACTAAATTCTTAATGTTAATTTTATCAAACATTTCATTTAATGAATTTGGCAAATGTACTCCGGATTTGTTTAATAAAAAAATAAGAATTAATCTGTATTCATGCATGTTATAAGAACAATAAAATTTCAAATGTCGATATTCTAATTTTTCATATTCATAACCGGTATTACAGTCATTCTATTAAATGCAGAAACTATTTATCCACAGTTACGAATAATTCTAAATGCATCAATTCTTATATACATATTGAATTTATTAAATAAAGTAATGCCTACACACTTACCGTTTTATGCATAAATTATAAAATTATAATTAAAAAAAATTATATTATTTTATAGAATAAAATTTATTTACATTCTTTCATTAAAAATTAACGTACTTCCTTCCACTGATTAAACTTACAAAAAATCAATGTACTTTAAATGTTAATAAACTTAAATAATAACCTAAGTAATTTTAAATTCACGAAAGTACAGTCCCATTTTATGCTCATACAATTAAAGATAATAAAAGTATCTACAATACAGAAAAAGTCATAATGTAAGCATAAATTCAATGTAATTCATATTACATTTATAGTAATGTATAATAAGCTTAGAAATAGATTCGATCGTTGACTAAAACAAACTAAAAGAAAAAAAGAATCCGAAACTGTGAGTATGAAGAGAAAAGAGAGTATTATTATATTATCATAAGCGGCTCTTTAGTGCACCCTCGGTAGATTTCTTAGACATCCTTCAGTTAATTTCAGTCTGTAAGTCTTTAATTAGTATTCGTTGCAAATGTTCTGAATTTTTTCAATTGTCGTAAACTTAAACTGCGAATTTCTAGGAGTAAGGTAAAAAGAAATTCAGAGAAAAATTCATATTAAACAATGTAATTAAAAATTTTTTTAAAGAAATAATAAAGAGAACAAAATTGTGGTTAAATTATAAATAATATTTATAATTAATAACATTTACTATAGATTTTAATTTACATTACTTTTATAATTTGGAGATACATTTAATCATATTTATACATTTATCTTTTGGCCGTTGAGCGATTTTCAAAGTAATTCTATTTTTTAATAATATAGAATCATATGTACAAAATTAATTGAAAATTACTTTATACAGAAAATAATGAACAATATATTGTATAAGTTAGAAAAACACAATAAAAATCGGTATTTATATATAAATATTAGAAAATATAAACATTCTCATCATTATATTCTTATAAAATTTAAAAGTAAAGAAAATTAAAAACAATTTTTTATAACAAAAGTTTATTTGTATAAGATAAATAATTACCAATCTTGTACATTTTTTTATCCTTATAAATTGGGAATTTTTAAAAAATAAATATACAAATACTAGGTAAAAACAATATTTTTAACAAATAATTTTATTTGGTTAAATTTATACACTACATTTCTTATAATTTTCGATTTGTATATTCATTATTTTTGTATATAGATCTTTGAAAGCAATCAATTATCAAGAAAATAATATTTTCTTAATCAAATATTATTATACAAAATGACAATACAAATTTTTATCAAAAAATTTATTTTTCGACATTTATTTTTTATAAAACTATGCTTTAATTCAGAATGTAAAAATTTTATCCACAATACTACTATGATAAATGGTTTATATAATTAAAAATTTTTGTTATTCAAGAACTTATGGATTAACGATAAAATGTAAGATTTCCAAAAGAAAACTAAATGACAAGGTCAAAAAGAAAAAATTAAACCGAAAGTTGTAAAGTGCAGACATTGTTCAAGATAGAGATAATGTATAAAAAAGGAAGGTTAAAAACCAGAGAGAGATAGAGAGAGAGAGAGAGAGATAGATAGAGAGAGGGAGAGAGAGAGAGAGAGAGAGAGAGAGAGAGAGAGAGAGATAAAGAAAAGAATTTGAAAAGTCTCTATCAGAGTTTCGTAGTAGTGAATGTACCGTCACATTTGCATAAACCAATTTAGTTTTTGTTTTTTCCCTTCAATTTTACTCACTTCAAATCGAAACTTGCATGTGATTTAGCATCTGCCATTCTCTTAATCTCTCCATTTCTCTCTCCCTCTCTTCTTCCGTCACTCACTTTTCCTCTCTCACTCTCTATCTCTCACATTCTGTCCTCTTTTAATTAATGTCCAAAATTTTATTAACATGCTTTGTTGAACAGTTCGCCACACTAGCCAAGTTCAATAGAAACTTTATCTGTAATCGCTAATTAATTGCCAAGCGCTGGAATATAAGTGAAGCAGAATTTTAAGTAGCTGCATAATCATAAGGATTTTCCAATGGAAAATTTCGAAATTTCGTATTCTATTAAATGTCTAATTTCTTTTATATTTGTGTTTTGAAATATTTAAAAAAATAGCTGTTCAATTTGAATTGAATTATTTTCACTCTAGGTATTTCAATATTTAAGAAAAAACAGACGAAAAATTATTAAATTAATGAAATAAAAATAATACCCCTTAAGCCATCTAATATAAAAACTATCGTGTGTGTGTGTGTGTGTGTGTGTGTGTGTGCGCGCGCGCGCGCGCGCGTTCGTGCCCGTGTGTTATAAATAACTATTTTTATATTTATGTATGATTCTTTAATATTATTAAATATTATTTTTATTATCATTTATGTACATCTGATATTAATTTAACAAAATTAAAATATCTTCCAAATTTATGGTTGTAAATATGGTTATTGATTCAAACGATTTCTATTAAATAAAAAATTAAAAGTACAAAATGTATCATATGCAATCCATATCAATTAATAATATATTATTTTATCTTATAATTATATTGAATTATTTAACGTGCATGAACATCAACATATCTATACAACAGAATACTATTTAATTTATTTCATATTTATTTATTATAAGTTATATTTATTACCCTTATATAATAAAAAAATCTATTATGAATATCACAGTTATAAAAATTTTCTTTATTTTATGAAATTATTCATTAAGTATTATTGCTAATACTATATACTTCAAAAATATCAAATAATATCCATTTTAAATTTTATAATTCATACGAAAAAATTATTAAGTAACTATTATTAGACATTTTATAGCAAATTTATGATAATAATTTAAAAATAAGAAATATACTAAAAACAAAACTGTACAAAGGTATAATCAATT